TTAAATCTTTGGATTTCAGAAATTTTCAAAATATTATCAAAAGATATCTTCTCATCCATTGTTTCTACACAATCGAAGAATATGCTGCTGGTCAATTCATAGTTCTTGGAAAATGATACATGTTGTAAAGCTGGGATAAAGCCTGTTCTTATGTTTGTTGACTTTCTATATTGATATCAATATTTTATCACTATTCATGTAACACTCTGATCATTTTAAGGAATTTTAATATACCAGTTTTATTCCTTTATAAGATTTATTACTTCAATCTAGAGACTTTTTGCTCATTTTAAGTGTTTGACATAGTACCTATAGTATATAGTATATATGACTTGCCATAAATGTATTTTGTATATATTGTGGTCAAATAAATTACTCTACCCTACTCTACTTTCTGAAGAAAGCAAAGCAAAATCACAAATACGTCTTCAATTTGCCTTATTGAAATATAAGAAACTTTTTAACAGAGATTTGAGGAAAACCTAAACTTCTAGTTTTTGTACTAAATCACCTCTAATCTTATTATGTTCATTTGGCATCATGCTGACATATACACATATATCCCTAAACATTATAAGACATAATGGCAGGTGTTGGTATTAGAAAACAATCTGAGAACACAGACTCTAAACATGTCGATAAAACAATTCCACATGAGGTTGTTACACATGGTGTCATCACTTTGCTAATACCGTAATCGTATAATACCCATCTTGAGTACATGTTCATAGAATGTAAATGAATATTTGAAGTGAAACACTTTTTTCTTAGTTATGTCTTTCCTAATTGCAATCCACATATTTGAAATTCATTCAGTTTTATTCAGGCAGAACAAAAAAGTCCTCGGAAGTATGCTAAGAATCGCATGTTAAAAGGCAAGACCAAGGAAATGCAGAATTCATAAGTGACATAAGTGACAACTCTATTGAAAACACTTTACCAATACCAGAACAAAAGTACGGTCTTTCGACGCGCGTTTCGCTAACGTCCTCGCTAGCGTCCTCAGCAGATTATTATGACTAAATTTTACTACTATGTTAGTGTTTTCATATATATTGGTGGCCGAACTACTACCTGTTAGTATTACGTAACTGCTACCAGTTCGTATTACCAGCTATTAGCATGCTAAACTACCTATTTTTTCAATACCTCTAATTTGTTATGTATTTCCCCTAGTTTAGTGAAATACATAAAATGCAACTACCGACGAAAATATTGCCAAAGTTCACCAAATGGTGGTGGACGACCGCCGCAGAGTTTATGAACATGTCAAAAGAACGTGTTTGCCACATATTGAATCAAGATTAAGGCATGAGAAAGGTGCAAAGGTGCCGCGTTTGCTCACGTTAGACCAAAAACGTGTTCGAATCGCTCTGTTGGCGCATATTAGGCGCAATAAATCCTACTTTTGACGCCGATTAATCACTGTAGATTGAACTTGAATATACCAATATTCACCTGAAACAAAAATATAGTCCAAACAGTGAACTGTGGTACTGTTTTTCTTTTGGTTGGGAAAGTGATGGTGACTGTTCTTTGGGATAGTCACGGAGTTATTTCAATCAATTATCTTCAAAACGAGAAAGCATTAGAGCATCATTACTTGATAAGCTGAAGGCAGAACTAACGAAAAAAATGACACATTTGAAGAAAAAAAAAGTCCTGTTTCACCAAGAGAAAGCACCGTCTTACTCTTCAGTGGTGGCTGTGACGAAAATTCACGAAATACGTTTTGAACTGCTTGACCATCCACCTTACCAAACAGATCTAGCTCCAAGTGATTTCTTTTTGTTTCCTCATCTGAACATTGCGATCGAAAGACAGAGTGTTCATCCAATGAAGAGGCAATCAACTTTATAAACAATTATTAGGTCATCTATAGTTTCCTGTGAGTCGAAAAATCATACTTTCTCTTTCTAATAAATATCGTAATTAGTTCTCATAACATAAAATAGAAAATTGAAAAATTGCTTCGTTTTGTTCAAAATTGGTATCATTGGTAATTACCGTTAATTGATAAAATAGGAAAATTGTCACTTGAATCAATAGATAGTAGATCATACCCACATTGTGGTAAGTACCGTATTGAAGTGATATATCATCACTGGTGTATAATACAATTTTATATTTCATCGAATTCGTTCGACATCAGGTATCGAAAGTATTGTGTGTATCCACGAACAAAAATGCAGCGTGTGAGAGAGAATGTTTTCTTGTGAAAACACTAGAAGAAAACAAAACAAAAAAGTGTGCAAGTCATTTCTTTCATAAAAGAGCCCCTGCTTTGATATTATTTGTGTGGGATGAATAGCCTCTTCGGGTATCCACTATCGTCCTATGTGGTCCACATAAATTCTGATTTTAAGGTTTTGTTCCCTTTTTACAACCGTGTATTGCTTGAAACTGATATTTTACTATTCATTAAATTTGTCAAATCACTTTTATGGGTTTCTTCATGTTTCAGCGTTTTATGGTTTTTATAGAGAAAAACACGATAGTAAATCGTTTTCACAACATAATTCCGTAAATGATGCAAAACAACAAAAAATAAAGTGTTAATTCGTGTAAGGAATACACTTCATTGAACAATAAGCTGCGTAATCACCATTCCGTTTATTTTTCATCTTGCAAGATTATTAAAAAGGCTTTTTTGTTTCCAATGCAAACATGAAGGGTTGATTACTGATCTTATATCAGAAGTAAAAATTATTCTAAGAAGAATCAGCATGAAATTTAGTTTCACAACCTTTCACATATAGTCAGTGGGCATACTTGAAGATTGGCTATAAATCAAATCATCAAAAGGAACAATTCGTTCAGGTCAGTCTCAACTCCCTACACTGCAGTTTAATGGACTGACACCTATCAGAAAACAATTACTCCCCTGGCTAAAACCACGGAGGTCGTCGAATTATATCCGACAGGTGTCAGTGTAGGATTCTTCACTGAAGTTATTCCTGCATATTCTGTTGGCGATACAACTGCCACAACAGCTTTTGAATTATTGGAACACATTTGCAGACCGATTTCGGACTATCATCAATATGAAGACGATGATTTCCGATGATTGAAAATCGAATTTCTTCAGAGTATCATTCCTCGAAGCAGGCTGAAGCAGACAACAAACAACAGGTTTGTCATCGCCCCATCTGCCTGTGAACGAGGTAACCAACCGCATATCCGAAATTTGCCTAATATCTCGTTAGATAAAAGAAAACTTTTTACATATAGTCAGCACAATTCATTCAGGCCTTGTACTAACGAGTGGCCAAACTGCCCTAAACCGTTCTGCAAGTGTGTTCCAATAATTGAAAATCTATTGTGGCAGTTGTATCGCCAACGGCATATGCAGGAATAACTTCAATAAAGAATCCTGCATTGACACCTGTCGGATATAATCCAACGCCCTTCGTGGTATTAGCCAGGGGAGTAGTTGTTCTCTGATAGATGTCAGTCCATCAACCTGGAGTGTAGGACTGGCCTGAACGAATTGTTCCTTTAGGTTTCAAAACGTGTATGCTTATTTTTTCAGAATATGTCAAACAACCGAATAATTATTCACCACTCAATATTCTTAGAAAAATAGAAAAATGTTTCAAATATTTTCGATATATCTGGTAATTCTTGCGGTAAAAACATATTGGAGCAGTGGAACTCGCCTCACATATTACCGTGCACATCTCCATGCGGCAGGAAAGTCGGTTAATCTTTTTATTTTTTCAGGGATTTCGAATCAATTTATATTATATTAGACAATGGTAGTCCGAACTGATGAAATACACCACGAAACATTGTCAACCACCTTCAAACAATAGTTTTGTAATTTCGTAATTATTTTTTGTATCGATGAATCGATTAGTGACTTTTTGTGACTTTTAAACATTAGGGATATAATTTTTTTCATCTCAATGTCCAATGTGTTATATAATTTAGGTTCTAGGTAAGTATGGCGTCTTTGTGCAATGGTTTTTTCTGGTTTTGGTATTTTATGGGCATTTTTTTTGTGTCTTGTGTTATGTATATGTGATATATATCCGAATCGAAACTTTCTTATTTTTGTGTTGGTACATAAGAAGACTGTGACAGAATAATTGGCTAATATCAAGTACTTTGGTCTCGGTGTATAACAAGTCAGATGAGAATCGTCACGTTATGTATAATTCCGCTACTGAATGGTAAACTATTTCTATCTGTTCCACTTCCATTCTGTCCGACTTTGATATCTTGTTTCGTTCAAAAGTTGAGAGGAGGGTTGAGAGGAGGTTTTTAATTCAAGAACTGAAAGAAATTCCAACTGAAATGTTTGAATCTTTTTTTACGGAAATGTTGCATTCGGTAGTGAATAATTATTGGATTGTACCACATAGCATGTAGCATACTTATTGTGGAATTGAGTTTCATATTTCAAAATTTCTATAGAATGGCTTTTTTCTTATGAGATAGGAATCAACTCCATTGGAGAAAAATATATTGCCTTCCTATTTTATGAGTTGCTTTTTTAGCCTCAGTCTGCTTTCTGGTTGCAATTTTAGCAAAAATAATTAACACATTAGTATATCTATGGAGATGCATGAGCACTACAATAAAACCCTTTGAATGGTCTGAAAGCGAGGCCTCCACGAAACTTGCGATTTTCGTTGGACTTGCTGCAAATATGTGAAGTGATTTCTCGCTCCGCTTTTCCTTTTGCTGCGGAACATAATTACATTACTTGATTTTCAGACGGTTCTGACTGATTTATGCAGAACAACTACTACGAATACGGTTGAACTCATTTTTTTTTTTTCATAATATAACTCAATTAGCGAAGGTAACTGTGTTAAGGTGGTGCTGTAGGTTCCTTCCAAGGTTTTTTCCACAACTGAAAAGCGAATGCGTCATCTGAAGTACGGCACCTCTAACTACTCACGCAGTACTTTTCTCTTTGATGTTATTTTCATCAATATTAAGTTCTCATTTTCTGTATAATTCACATAATTGTTCACAAAAGAGTTTAGATATCTTTGAAACTCAAAATCACATTTTATTGAATATCATCTAACCTACCACGAAAACAGGAATCAAATGTATCGGTAAGACGTTTTGATTACATTCAGTGAATCAAAGATGGGGTAGCATAACATAACAGAAATGCGGATACATTTTTCAGTTACTAATAACGACGCTTTTTAAGTTTTTCCAAACCCGTATCTTTGATGTACTCTTCAAAATATTTTTCGCAAATACTGCACGGACGAGGTGGTTTCCTACATATCTGAAATGAACAGCTGATGTTAAAAGAGTTCAAAATGTCCCCCTTTACAGGTGTGCCAGCACGCATTGAACTTACAACCAAAAATGAAGTACAAAGAAATGATACTTTACAAACATACACATTAATTATGAGAATGTAGGCTTTCACGACTGGCGTCAATGATTTGGTTGATTTCCGGGGTTTGCCGCGGTCTTCTTTGGTTACAATCTACAAACGTTTCAACTGCAACTGCGACAGTCATCTTCAGTGGCATCAAGAAGAGTACTTCGACCACGCCACTGAAGATGACTGCCGTAGTTGAAGTTGAAACGTTTGGAGATTTTCACCAGAGAAGACCACGGCAAAACTCGGAAACTAACCAAAACATAAATCATTTATTCTTCGTAGCTACAAATTCATTGCAATCATTAGGACCGATGCTTGATGAAAATCCATTCCAGTCTGGGTCTCAAGATCTTTTTTTTAACTTCTCTCCAAAGGCACTGAAAATTATGATCCAGGTCTCATTTGATTCGGAATGACCTCTAGCAACTTTTTGAAAAATTTCGAGAGAGGCTCGTAAAAATTGCAAAAGTTGTATATAATTCAGGTTTTCTGCAACTATTTCAGAAAATATTGAAGATATACAAAATTTGAAAAAAGATCCTTGTAGAGGAAGAAATTTACTGAAAAAAGTCCTACCTCCCGGGATTCTACCACCAATACTTAAAAGTTTAATTTATTGTCCTATCAAAGAAATACTTGATTTACATACCCTTCCATTTATCCGTGTCATATTATTCCTGTAATCATATACTATACACAATACAAAGACCCATACAAGGATTACGACAATCAGAAAATAAAACATGTCTTCTTAGGTTTCCTCTTTTCTCTTCCCCAATCGATGTATGAATAGACTGCTGGTGGAAATCTCAGAAATACCAGTATGTATACTATACGACAAACAAGTTTTCATACTACGAAATGTTGCTATTTTGATTGACGTAAGGATGACATTACTGTTGGTTATATTGCCAACTCCAGGGCAAATATGATTGGTTGACAGTGACAGTGATATCACTTGAATATATCACACTTCTGTTGATCGAACTGAGGCGTTTACTTGACTCCCACGACCTAAATGATAATCATGATTCGAAACCCCATTTTCTTTATGGAATATAATACTTGATGCGTCTAGTTTCAAAACTAAATAAGTCACTTCTTCAGAAGACAGAAACTAACGAAATATCTATTTTTCAGTGGAAACAAATATCATTCACAAACTTTTATGCGATATGAAATATTGTAGATAATTTTCAGCTATCAGAAAGAAATATTCATTATAGAAACAATATTTTTCATATAAATGTCAACGCCAACAATTTTGGGATATACATGGTCTTATAATGAGACGCCTCATTTTTATGGTCTCTTGAACATTCATTTATAATCCCATGATTGAAACTCAAATTAAAATGCTTTTATTTTGTGAAATTCAACATGACTAGTAAATTACCCGGTTTAACTCCACTGTTCAACAGAGAAGAAAGGTTGACAAATTCAAATTTTGAATTTGAATTCTGTCAGATTGGGACCAAAACGCGTACCTTTGGTAGGCACTTGATCACTGTTTTGATATTGAACAGATCAGTTATTGTAATTTAATCGCAGTTGAATGATCATTATATAGGTTTGATTTGTCGAGATCACAAACGTACGTAAATGTCAAATATCGTTTTTTATTTTTATCGTTGTTTTATAATAAAATGAATTTCTAATTTTGAAAGATGCGTTTTTTTTTAAAAATCTTTGATTTACTTGCAAATAGAGTAACAACAACGAAACGCATATGCTTCCATCAAATTTGTGAATATTCTGTGACATAACGATTGATTGACAAACGGATGAATGGACTAATTGTTTCCTGGTTGGATTTCACTACCATTTAATTATTTTAATTCTACAAAAACCAAACGTAAGTTGATTCACAAATTATTCAAATTTCTTTTCTACATGAAAACAGTACATTTTCAAGCTCAGTTGGTCACATAAATGAATCAGTAGTTTGGGAGAGTATAGTACTGACATTTCTGTTGACTGTTTGTATAGGGTGTTTCTACTATAGTTGCTTTGATAAATGTTGCAATAATTATAGGAGAATAACCCAAAGTGTTCACTCATTTATTATTTTTCAAAAACAAACACTGCTCATGAGAGCTGCATTGGAGACACTCTTGAATGTTGCTCCTTTAGATCTTCTAATGATTGGTGAGCTAGGATGGGCCAATTCAGCCAAGAAAGGTCACCTTGTTACATGACATCAAGTTAAGCAGAAATTTTGGAATATGTGGAAGAACAAATATCAAACATGTTCTGGGACCCCATGACACCAAAATATATGTTCGATACATGATCACTTCGACCGTTGCTGCATCACTTTTGATAATGTGTGCCGCAGTAGTAGACGAAACGTCAGACATAAAAACCTGCAGATCACGGTTCATAAACATTGAACAAATTTGGGTTTTATATACGAAAAATATTGTGTTCTTGCATGTCAATTCAATACTGAACTATTAAAATTTTGTTATTTAAAAAAGTCCTTATTTTTAAGTACTTAGGTAAAGTCGAATTGATGGAAAGAAGTATAGAATTGATAGACAGAAGTGGGGGTATAAAAGGGAATAATCAATCAAATAGGATCAGCAATGAAAATGTTTATGCTGCTCATATGAAAAAAACTAGTAATATTGAATGTACTAATATTGTTCTTCCTTGTCAAGCAAAGTCAGATAACAATCATTCACGATTATTCTTTTTCAGAAACAAAAACAATAATTCTACTTTAATTTTATTTTATATTTCAATGGTCAAAGTGTACCTGCATTGATTGAATTTGGACTTTTGTGGGTATAAAAAAACCCCAATATAGTATGTCTGTCGGAAACGCATATTATTGACGATATATTCAATTCAGAAATTTGTATAGAAATCTACCAATATACTGACTAGAACCGGGAGTAGTGGTAGACATACAGGGGTAACTGCAATATTGACTGAAACAAGTTTAACGATAGTTGAAGTCTTCGAAGAGTGTATTGATAAACTGTTTTGGTTAACGCAAAATTGCTGGAATGGGTGTCACGAAAAAAATGAGAGAAAAATTAAATAAACCCATAAGGCTGCAGTATTTTCCAGAGATTCGGGAGAAATTGACTAGTCAGACGCCTTACGAGTACTTTGATGAAATGAAAACACTTGTGTTTTGATTCTTGAAGATGCTCGTACATTGTAGATTGTTTGTCCAGATGTGTTCACGCAGCCTTATGTCAAAATTTCTACCGGTATGGCCTGTATATACTGCAGAGCATTCGCTACACTCTATTCTATATAAAGCTGTTTTTTTCATTCTATCCCGTTTTGGTTTTGCATTGAACAGGGTTCTACCTAAATTATTATTACTTTTGAAAGCTGTTGATATTTTGTTTTTAGAGAAATGATTTTCACAGTTTCGGATTTGACCCCAATATCAAGTATGAAACTGAGATGTGGAGTTTGAAAACTCGGTTTCATCAGGAGTAAGGACAGGTATTTGATAGACAGGTAGTTGGGCGAACCAAGATGCCCACTTTAAAATTCACCACTGAAAAGTCTAGGGGTTGTTCAGCTTATAAATTCAAGAAAGGAGACCTACATGAATTGAGTTGTTCATTTAGGGGTATACCGTCAACTAGTGGAAATTAGACAGAAGTGTTTTTATTCATTTCATTAAAGTGATCATGAATTACCACAAATTAAACAAATCATCAATCACACATATTAGATCAGATATTAGTAGAAAACAATCTACTACTTGAGTTGTGGCAGGTAAGCTATGATCCATAAACTGTAAAACTACCGAAAAAATTTCAATAAATAATTCATTCACTACTAAAAATCTACATTATGCAGAACTAACAAAGACTACTCCTTCCTCATTCAGATATCCCAACAGAATAGCAAACTACGTGGGTGTTTTGTTTAAAAAAATCATGTATTTACTGCAGTAATGAAAAAATTCAGGCAGTGACAACAGAAAAAACATGAATTTATTGAGTCTGTAGGCCACAGACTTGAACTATTCACGATGAAAAATACAACTATTAATTGCACCCGTGAGAACTCGGGGCAGGTCGCTAGTTGGATATAAGCATTTTTCAGTTCAATTACGATACCAGACTGACCATACCTTTCGTTTTTTTGGCTTTTTATTCTTTTTCCCGTTGCTACTTTTCTTTCTGTTTTATTCGATTGCAACTTTTCGTCAAAATACTTGTCAACACTGTCAATACAGTCAATTTTATTTGGCATTTTTTTCGAATACACGGTATTCTCCCGACTCTGGTTAGATAACAAAAAAACGTCACACAATTGACACAACAATTCTTTCGGTAGAACTTTATGAATTTTAAAAAAAACTAATCATTGCATATACTAAAACAGGCAATCCACTAGTTCAGCGGTATCGCCGAGAGTTATGATTGAGTCAATCCTGAACGCTAGAACGATTTGGTCACCACCCGCGGATCTTTAATGGACGTGGTACTCACGAGGAATCCACAGAAACCCATTGAACGCTTTTGCTGAGCCCGGCGTGCCGCTCGCGACGGTAGTGGAGAAAAAAGATTAAAGATAATTTGTAGCCTAAAAGCCACATAAATTCATATAAATACCGCCAGGTGTCACTATTAACGGCGCTAGAGATATTAGATTAATATCAAATAGACGGGGCTGTACGTATGGGTTCTTTTTAGAGGTGGGCCACCTGTGGAAGAGTATTGCCTAATGGTAATTTATACGAGTTTAGTTGTAACCAGATTTATTGAGATATAATCTATGAACTGTTCAGAAATGGTGAGACTTCGGTCGACATGCCACAAATATCTCTGCTGTGGGAAATTTACAGGCACGTGAGTGTAAAGAATTATTCAACTAGAGGGCTTTAACTTGAAGTGTTTGGCTTTATGAAAAACATCTATTTCAATTTTGGTTGTGGAGTATGTCTAAATAAAATTGAGCTCCATATACTTTGTTTCCTGTACTCATTTTCATATAACTTAAAAATCCACCGAGCCTTATTTGAATTGAAAAGGGTTTAAGGAGAAATCAATTTTGGGGAAAGAAAGGTTTTAGCTTTCTACTCCTCTATCTTTACACAACAAAAATGTGGGGATCTTCCAAAGAAAGGCAAAAAGCAATTAATTTCAAAATGAACCCTTCACAAAAAAGGGTAGAAAAAGCAAAGGAGTAACTTTCAGACACAAACTGAAAAAAAACGCCGTTTCGGAACTGCTACTTTCACTGGAATTCAAGCTCCTCCAAGATATTACCTTTTCATCTGAAAAATATATTGAAAGTAGTCTATAATTTGGTTTTTCTTGAAATATCATTTTGAGAAATGGTTTGATACGATAACAAAATTAGCAAACTTGAACATTTGAAAACCCCTTAGACATCTGTCGAGAAAGATGAGAAATTGAAAGAATCAGCAAAAAAACTGCTTTCTGACTAAGTTTTAGGTAGGCAAAATTATTACTCTGAATTGACGCAATAACTTATCGGGGTGAACAGAAAATTCACCTTTTTTACACGTGTATACAGTTCTCCATTACAATTTTCATATTAGTCACATTGTAGAAGGTGGAAATACCCAAAGAAGGTCGTCAAAAGCAAAATCTTCAAATATTGACTTGTTATCTATATAGTCACAATTTTAAACAGTTTCATTATTCAAAACGAAAGTAATTATTTCAATTTCGAATTATTCCTGATCTTGGCATCGTTAACAAAAATATGATGTTGTGATTAGTACCCTGGAAAATATTTCACTAATGGTCCCAAACATCATTTCGAAAAGTAATAGAAATTCTCTTTCTCTCTGTTCTCAATAAATGCTTGATATAATTCCGCATTATTCATTTATTCAGCAACTCATCTGAATATCGCTGATCTACAGACTTGTAGGAGAAATAAACAAAATTTTCATTTCTTTGAACT